AGACCTGACACATTATTGTGACAAATCAAAAATATGTGACAAATTAAAAGTTGACATGTATCATGTCACATTATTGTGGATCAAATTATGAATTTTTTTTTTTCGGGGTCTTAAATATTTTCTTACATAAGTAACCTAAGTCTATGAACTATGAATAATTTTGTCATTTGCTTAAGAGGCATACACTTTAACCCTTGTGTTTTATTCCACATATAAGTTGCCCCTTGAAATTTGAAAATGAACATTAACCCTTATGTCTGATACATGTTTTACATTTACTGTTAAATTGAACAAAATATCTAATTGTGCACTCACTACAACATATAAGAGTTTTAGAAACTAAATGTTTGTCTGTAAAAGTGAAAATTTTGTTGCAAAAGACATTTAGGGATAAATTTTCATCGTCATGAGGATAGTTGTTAAAAGGTTGTCCCGAAAAGTACAAAACAAGGCTTTTGGCGACAAAATTTTAAAAATGTCACTAATAAATAGACTTTTAGGGACAAACTAATTTGGTTTCAAAATAGTTTATTTTTTGAGACAAACTTTGCTCCCAAAAGGATAATAATTCATTACTATGTCCAATTTTTGTTGCTAAACATATAATAACGATACTTTTCGCAATAAAATTATTTGGTCCCTAAAAAATAATTTTGTTCCTAAATTTTACTTTCTAAAATCTTAATTTTTTGTAGTGACTTTAGTCTGCAAATCAAAAAGAGGCTATGTAATCAGTTCAAAATGAAGGGGTGAAGGGTAATCTGCACATAGGCAAAACTATAAGGGTCAAATAAAATTTGCCCAATTATAAATTATGCAATTTGTGTTTAATTAATGAGAAAAATGGTTAAAAAAAATTAGGTATGACATTAGGTCCAGGAATTGTTTTGTTTCGTGATAAGGACATGATTAAGAAAATTGAAAAATTCTACTATATACACCCTTATCATATTTTTAAGTTATGTTATTTTCTTTTTTAGTTATAATCAACTTCCTTATTTAATTATGATTTTATTTTAATTATAATTTATGAGATCTTTGATTACACTTCATGTGTTATTTGATTATCACTTTTTCTTTTTATGACTCAAAAAGTATAACATTTTTTCATTTTCTATTTTTTCATTTAGTTATAAGATACGTACAATATAAACCCTTGAGAGGTGTGTACCATAGATTGACAAATTATTGTTTTGAATAAACTTTTTTCTTTCCATTTTCACCCTACTGCCATCAAGCCACAGTTGTCCAGTCGCTGCAAAAAATCATCGGAGGCGGGTAGCTAGTGGTGGTGATAATATGGATAAATAGGCAAATTAGATGAATAATATAAGTGACACGTGGACAAATGGAAGGATGCCATAAAAAATAAAATAATTAATAAATAATAATAATAAGAGTAAACAGATAAATGATACATAAATAGATAAATAGATGAGTAGGAGTAATGTGGGAGACTTCTCCAATTGTACTATGGACAGACGTCTCCAATTGAATTATATGAAGTTAAATAACAAAAAAAAAAAAAAAAAAAAAAAAAGTGTGGAGAATCAATCAATAAAATTGGTAGTTTAAAAATCGACAAATTATATTGCTAGTTTTTATATTTTAATTTTTATACTATTTTAATTCTTGTAATTCTAAATAGCTCAATTTTGATCATGAATTTTTTTTTTTTTGGTCTCAAATTGATCCAATTGTCTGTATCTTTGTGGGAAAAAAAGCACATAAGCGGTATGTGTCATGCTTTTAGGGATAAAATTAAAAACTTGATTAATTCAATAATTTAACCTCAACAAATTCAATGAACACTTTCCATAAAAATCTCTAAAACCCTTAATGGTATTATCGATTGGACCAAACTAATGCAAAATCTAAAATTAAGGGCTAAAATAGAGCCAAATAAAATTATAGGGACTAAAATGACATAAACAGTAAAATATAGAGATTGGAAGAGTGAAACTACATTGTAATTTGCCATTTAAAAATGAAACTCAAATTGAAACAGAAATAGAAATAGTTTAAGTGACACAAAATGAAATTAACTATACTTTATTTTGGTTTTAGTTTTTTTAAAAATAAAACACACTTAAAATGGAAAACACACTCCAAAAGTTGAACTATTAGAATACATTTGTCCTAAACAAAACCGTAAATTGCACTAAATTCTATTGGGACTCCAAAAAAAACAAATATCGTAAACATCACAATTCTGAGAGTAATTATTCAGTAATTCTGGAGTATAGACACATTATATTTTATAGTATTATGATTGGTAAAGAAGGTAGAAGGTGAGGTATTGTGTTGAATGGTTGGGAAACATGATGAGACATATTGAATGATAATTGGTTAAGAAGTATAGACAAATGGTACTCCAGAAATATTGAATAATTTCTCCAATTTCGACAGGGTTATAGAAACCTCTAATTTAATGGAGATTATCTGAAGACTTAAAGATAAATATATAATACACATTTTAATACAAAGGATAAATTACACTGACACCTCCTAAGATTTGGATTTAATACATATCACCCCCTGACATTAGGGAAATTACACTAACCCCATGTCATTGTAATTATTTAGACAGAATGAAGACATTGAACTCATACGCTATCTCTTTTTTTACTTTGCTTTACTTTCTCTTTTCTTTTCTTTTTTTCCTTTCCTTTACTTTTTTTTTAATGTAATTTCTTCCGTTTTTCTACTAGGAGTTGTTGCATTTTATATAAGTAGGAGGATTTGTGAAATGAGACTATTAACCACAGGGGTGAGAATGTAATTTTCAAGACGTCAAGGGATGAGTAGTAATTGGACCAAACCTCAAGGGCTGTCAATGTAATTTACCCTAATATAAAAGATGTAATAGAATTATTTGTTTAGTATTATTATTCATGCCTAAAAGATGGTTTGTTGATAATTAAATATTTTTTAATTATTAAACAATCATTTTAACATGTCACTATAGATCTAAAAAGTGAGTCTAAAAAATAAACTTGTATATCACTTTTCTTATTTTTTTTTATCCATTAACTAATTAATTAGCCTTGAAAAGAGTGTTAAATATTTTGTGAATAAAAACTGTAACATAACTCAATATAACTGTGCTGAGAATTCTCACATCGGTCTGTGAGGGACTACTTTCCTACCTTATAACCAGACTGGCTCCTCTTACCTTGCATAGGCCTTTTCCCCCAGTGGGGGAGAAACAAAACCGTGAGGCAGGTTTCGCCAAAGCTGACAATATGTGCAAGGCACGGGGAGTGATTGCTTCATTCCGGTTTTGTTCCTCCCTACTGGGGGAAAATACCTATATAAGGCAAGAGGAGTCAGTCTGCTTATAAGGTGAGAAAGTAGTCCCTCACAGACCGATGTGGAATTTCTCCGCACATTAACCCCCTGCCAAGCTGGCTCCAGCACCGGCACAAGTCATCCAAGTGCCGAAGGGAGTTCCCACAAACAGCGCCAAATGAAGCAACCACTCCCCGTGCCTTGCACATATTGTCCGCTTTAGCGAAACCCGCCTCACGGTTTTGTTCCTCCCCCACTGGAGGAAAAGGCCTATGCAAGGTAAGAGGAGCCAGTTTGCTTATAAGATGAGAAAGTAGTCCCTCACAGACCGATGTGGGATTTCTCCGCACATTAGCCCCCAGCCGAGCTGGCTTTGGCTCCGGCACCAGCACAAGTCATCCAAGTGCCGAAGAGAGTTCTCACAGATGGCGCCAAATGAAGCAACCACTCCCCGTGCCTCACACATATTGTTTGCTTTGGCGAAACCCGCCTTACGGTTTTGTTCCACCCCCATTGGGGGAAAAGGCATATGAAAGGTAAGAGGAGCTAGTCTACTTATAAGGTGAGAAAGTAATCCCTCATAGAACGATGTGAGATTTCTCCGCACGATAACTATACTAAAATTGAATGACTTATTATATTTTTTCAATCTACAAGAAAATTTAGTGGCATATTTCCCCATATATAAACAAACCAACATTGTTTATGTGAAAATAAGGGATTTGCATTCTCTTCGTTCCAAAAGTATAATACAAGGCCACCATAACTTCTTTATGACTTGGTCTCAAAGAGGTTATAGGTTCAATTCTTTTTAAAAGGGTTGAATTAAGAGACTGTAAGTACTTTGATACTTTGTTAAGGGTGAGAGTTTTCTTTGCTAATTTAACAATTAATAACTAACATTTGTCGATCAAAAAAAAAATTTCATTATATTTTAAATTATAAAATAATGATAAATTCGCATAATTATTTGATAATACTTAAATGATGTAATGGTGATATTTCATTATAAAAAAATCTCTGTCCGAAAATAGGAACACTACAAACTGCAGCACTGCAAACCGAACTGGCAAAAAGGCCATGCAATGTATGAGGGTCTTTTGTCTGTTTGTTCTCAGCATTCAAAGCTGAGAGTACCTTCCTACCCCATTCATAGCTTTAGAAAAGGAAACAGGTTAAAGAAACTTTAGAAGATAAAGAGAAGCAAAACAGAAGACTCAAAACCAGTGGCTCTGATGTAATTATGTAGGAAATAGAGCATTTAATGGAGGACTGAGGTGTGAACGTGAACAATGCTGTGATGACCAATCGTGTCTACCTTCACAAGCACAAAGTGAGATTTGGAATGCAAATGAAAATGGAGTTTTGTGGAATAAATATGAGAGAGGACATTTTAGAGAGAGAGAGAGAAAAGAAGAGTAAAGTTATTAATGCTTTGATGGGCCGAAGAAGGAGACGATGACCGATATCAGTGGACTTTGAATGGCAGCTTTGCACGTCAAACACGTCTCAGTCGACCTGGAATTCCTCCCTCCTTCCATCATCCTTGACGACAACATGATGAGAGAGAGAGAGAGAGAAAGAAAGAAAACTTCTGCTGGGTTAAACCCAAAATGGGTGTTATCTCCAGAAACAGTTTTAACATGTAAAATTAGTTTTCCAAACCACTATTATACAAATATAATTTCGCTAAAACAAAGAGGACAAAGTTAGATTAAGCTTAATTGACCTATCATAAACTCATGATTCTACAAAAAGAGAAAACAAAAACAGTTTAATTCAATTTCACATCAAAACCACAAAAGAAACAAAAATCACTACAAGAAAGGCTACTTGAAGAACCCTAACTAACTAGCTAGCTAGCTACTTAGTTCCCCTACATTTCATTTCACAATTTCAATTCACAAATCAAATCTAAAGGTGTTTTCTCAAGTCTCACCGCTGCATAAATGGTTATGTTGCAGATGAATAACTAGAGAGAGAGAGATTAGGTTTTTTTACCGAGAGTGTGCTTGTTGTTGTGCATCCAGATCTTGAAAACCTGTCTCTTCACCCCAGTTTCCTCGCAGAACTGCTGCACCGCCGCGTCGTCTTGCTTCTGGAGGCGCCACCCCAACCTCTTCGCCAGCTCCAGCATCTTGTCCTTCTGTTCCTGTGTAAACTTCGTCCGGAACCTCTTTCTCGAACCACCGCCGCCGCCGCCGCCGCTGCTGCTAGGATTTGACATATCTTCTTCCTCCCTAGAAGTCGATGGCAGCGCCAGAGGCCGCTGATGCGGCGGCGGTGTCACCTGAAGGTATCCAGCTGGGTGGGCCGTGCGGTAGTACTGCGGCGGCGAGAATTGTTGGTGGTGGTGGGGATGGTGGTGGTGGTGATGGTGGTGGAAGCCCTCTCCCTCCGCCTCCTTACGGTGGAAGTTGCGGTGGCAATTACACGCCGCGCACTTCAAGGCGTCTAGGGTTCCGTCCTCACCGGCTGCCATGAACTCGCCGCAACCATCCAGCGCGTGTCCGCCGATGCTGACGGCGTGGTTTTTCAAACACTCTCTATACCTGTGAGTTCCGCCACCGCCTTTCCTCGCTGCCACCTCTCCTCCGCCGCTGGCCCTCCCCAGCGCCACCTCGTATGTCGCCTCGACTTGAATCCCAGGGATTCCCTCATCTGGGTCTTCGTGCTCATCGAATTCCATCTTCTCTTTCTAGTTTCTGAGACAGTAAAAGATGTACATCCGCAGCAGCAAATATCAGGCTTAGCACATCCACCGCCACACACCACCATCACCACCGATATAAAGCATGAATTTATATATATATATATATGTATATGTATATGTATATGTATATGTGAATATGAGAGAGAGATTATGGAAGAGAGGATGATGAGAATTGAAATCAAAAGATAAGAGAGAGAGAGGAGGGTGTGGACATGAATTACCGGCCTGCAAAAAAAAAAGAGGGATCTTTTATCTCTTTACTTCCAAAGCTCTCTCTCTCTCTCTCTCTCCTCTTGGTTGTGCCCTAAATTCTATCTTTTTGTTGCGGTTAATTAAGGGCTGGTTTACCGGTTGTTGCCCGTGGACTTTCCTTCCTCAGCTAACTGTAAACACTGTTTTCCAATTCAATTTCAATTTAGAGCACTAGATTGGAACCTTTAAAAGCATCACCAATAAGGGAACAGCGTAAAAATAAAAAAATAAAAATTAAACTATCACAGTAATAATGAGATTCATATGATACTATATCATTAATAATATATTAGTAACGTTAAATTAGTAGTGTGAAATATTTTTCTTTTCCAATTTTCCTTTCGGTTTTTGTGATCAGAGGTGAAAGTTGAGAAGCTCTGAAATTACTTTTCAGTTACCAAGATAAAGGAAATATGGAAAAACTTTTTGACTCCGTTCAATTTAGTTCCTTAAATCAGATTTAGGTTTTAAGTTATATTTTAAAACGTAAATTTTTCAAATAAGATTTAAAAATAAAAAAATTTATTTGATTATGAATTTTGAAAGAGTTTTAAAAAAAATTTGAGTCGTATTTTGAAATTATTTTGGCTTTATTTTTTAAAATATTTAAAAAATTTTATTTTTATTTTTTTAGATAATTATCTTTTATTGTAAATATTTTTTTAATATGCATTATATTTATTAATTTTTTTAATATGCATTGTGTTTTTTTGAAATATTTTAAATAACTTTTTTATAATATTTAAAAATTTATTTTTGTTATTTTAATATTTATTTATTTATTTATTTTATTTCAAATATTTTATTTTATTTTTCAAATATTTAAATATTTTAAATATTATTTTTATTTTCATTTTTAAGTTTTAATTTTTAATTTTTTTAAATTTTAAACAATTTTAAATTGCACACACACACACACACACACATATATATATATATATATATATATATGTCTAAATCATAAAAAATTATTTGGCCAATACTTAAAAAAATAACAAAATATTTTTTTTTCCAGAAAAATATGAAAATAAAATTTAAAAAAATAAGAAAGACAAAACGATTTTAAAGAACAAAGTAAAAAAATATTTTTTTTTTGAAATTTTTATTTTAAAAATAAAGTTTTTGAAAACAAAATTTGAATTGAGTTTTGATTTGAAAATTTTGTTTGGTTATGAGTTTTAAAAAGAATTTTGAATTTTTTTTTTCTTTTTTGATGCAAATCATGATTTGAAAAGAAAACCAAATGCTACCATTATTTCTTTTTTTATAAATTACCAAAACAAATAATAATCAAGTTTAAAAACAAATTAAACCTTAATTTTTTAATTATTTCAATTTAAGCCCTTAATTTTTAAAAGGGAAAATTACACTTTACCCTCTTCAACTATCACCGTTTTGCATTTGACCCCCTCAAACTAAAAATTAATATAATGTACTCCTTTCATTTTTTTGAAAATTTTCAATATAATCCTTATATCTCCATTCTATTAACAAAACTGACCAAAAAAATGCATGTAATATGCACATGTATGATAGATTTTTAAAAAGTAATTTCGTCATAAATATAATATGTGCACATTACATGCATCTTTTTTAATCAATTTTGTTAACATAATTGAGCATAAGCATTAGATTGAAATTTTTTAGAGGAAACTTTTGGTTTGAGAGGATAAAGTGAAAAATGATGATAGTTGGAAGGTAAAGTGTAAGGCTTTGTTTGAGAATATACTATTTTAGTAACTTTTTAATTTTTTGGCTAAAATATGAGATAAAAAAAATAATATGTTTGGAATGATTTTTTGATTTTTACAAAAAGATATGTAAAAAGTAAAGAAAAAAATGAATTTTTGACTTTTTAGTATAAATTATAAGCTTTTTGATTTTTTTTTTAGGTAACTTTTTGATTTTTTTGGCTAAAGCACTCGCGTGTCAAACGGGACTTAAATTGCCATTTTTAAAATAGTATCAATTCCAACTACTCGTTAATTATAACATATGGATTATTAGCAATTTAAATAATTTAATCACGTTTCATCAATGGTGCAAGACGGTAGTAGCGGTTAATGGATTGGGGAAGGAACAAGAGGGATAGGAGCGAGTTGGGGATGGAAGGAGTAGCCATGGACGAAGAAAAGATAGGGATAGATGGCAATGAATTAGAAAAGAAAATGGGTGATGATAGACGACGGTAAAAGTAAGAGATGGCTGTCAGTAGTAATAAAGGAAATTTTTTCTGTTAAGTTCTCAAAATTGTTCCTCTTTGTCAAATATAAGTAATGGACACAAATTGATTATTAGAATTGAAATCATTTTAAAAGTTAAGCATTTAAATTAAAATATTTAAAAATTAGAGTTTAAATTTTCTCCAAGGTCAAACCTTCAGATTTTTTATTTTTAATTTTATAATTTCTTCTTTTTTTTTCTTTCTTCCTATTTTTATCTTTTTTTGATCAGCAAAAAGAAGCTTTATTGATGTAAAATAGCACAAGGTACAAAACAATACACCAATAAAGAGAAGGGGAGTGCAGGAGCATCACAACGAGCTGAATGATCCCAACTAGGTTGGCACCAAAAAACTCGATCTATCATTTGCTAGCACCCCCGAGTTGGTGAGAAACCAACGAGGAAGAAAGAAACCAAAAACAAAGAAAAAGGGACACCAGCTGCAAACTTCACCAGCTAAGCTGAAAACTAATTCTCTTTGATCAACATGATAGGAAGCTCCTAGCGATGTCTTCTCACACAAACAAACAGCCCGAAGCACAAGACAGCAGAATCACAAAGACCAGATCTGGAAATGAAGAAGCAGGACAGCGTAGCAGAGAAGCAGACCAGCAGCAGACCACTGGGCCATTCCTAATGCAAATTACACTGGAGAAGCCACTGCCATTGAAGAAACCTTGATCCACATCTTGACAGCCCAAACACCAAACCAGGACAGGTTCATCTTGATCCACTTCTGGCACTGTGACTAATAGTTAACATGACTAACATATGGTCTGGTCTATAAGTGGCCTCATTACAAACAAATCGAGTTGAATGTGATTCGTGAGAACTAATAAACATGTTCGATTATCTTGGTTTAACTTGAGCTCAGCTCAAACTTTAACTTGACAAATTCTTAATGAGTCAAGTTGATACAGTTTAAAACTTAATTCAATTTGCCTCAACTTAGCTTGGCTCGTTTCCAACTCTACTTAAGAGGTTGGTTTGGTACATAAGCAGCTCCCAATCAAGTGTGAGATTTGGATTTAAGGCTTAATATATATAAATAAGTGGCCTCATTACAAACAAATCGAGTTGAATGTGATTCGTGAGAACTAATAAACAAGTTCGATTATCTTGGTTTAACTTGAGCTCAGCTCAAACTTTAACTTGACAAATTCTTAATGAGTCAAGTTGATACAGTTTAAAACTTAATTCAATTTGCCTCAACTTAGCTTGGCTCGTTTCCAACTCTACTTAAGAGGTTGGTTTGGTACATAAGCAGCTCCCAATCAAGTGTGAGATTTGGATTTAAGGCTTATTTTTGTACTATACAAGTTTCCTTTCTATATTTTACTTCAAAAAGTATAACCCAAAAAAAAAAAAAATGTTATTTTTGTTTTACGACATTAATCATATTATTGAAATGCACTGAAGTCTGTCTCTTTTCTCAAAAGAGGATTGGACCATCCGGTCCTTAGATTAATCTAGCTACAACTATCCAATTAATCTAATTTTATTATGGATGATCTATATGTAGAAACCTAAAAAGTCATCGAAGCAAAGCCTATTGTGGGTCCACATACTCTAACTGAAATGTGCCATATGTCACTTTAGTTAGTAAAAAAAATTTGTAAGATTTATTAGTTAATAAGTGAAAATCCTAAGTGATTGTGATTAGATCAAGATTAAAATATTCCAAATCCCAATTATTCAAAACACACAATCTAAATCAACTAGCACTTACGAAAGTGATTTAGATTGTTTGTTTTTCGGAATAAACAATAAATCGACGCAAACAATTTTTACGTGGAAAAAGTTGGATGCAAGAAAAACAGATATCAATAATAATGAGATTATGACATCCAAGCATACATAAGGCAAAACACTTACACCTACTCAAGTAACAAGTAATACTCTAGTGATCGAGCATGACACCCAAGGTCTTTCTAAGAAACTCAAATCGAAGAAGATCAAGGGATTTTGTAAAAATATTAGCTTTTTGATGCTCAGTGGGAACATGCTCAAGAACAACAAGGCCTTCTTCTACTAACTTTCGAATAAAATGATGACGAATGTCAATGTGTTTGGTGCGAGAGTGTTGGACAGGATTTTTTGAAATGTTTATGGCACTTGTGTTATCACAGAAAAGAGTGAGAGTGTTATGTTCTATCACATAATCATGAAGCATTTGCTTCATCCACAGCATTTGTGTACAACAACTCCCTGCAGCAATGTACTCAGCCTCAGCAGTCGAAAGAGAGATGGCATTTTGCTTTTTACTATGCCAGGAAACCAAATTATTCCCAAGATAAAAACACCCGCCGGATGTACTCTTCCTATCATCAGCACACCCTGCCCAGTCGGCATCAGAAAAACCAGTAATTTCAGCTGTAATATCAGTAGAAAACCAAACCCAAGAATGTGAGACTCTTTAGGACTGGCTTGGTAACGGGCACAAACACCGACACTGAAAGAAATATCAAGACGACTGGCTGTCAGATACAAAAGACTCCCTATCATACTCCTATAAAGGGTAGGATCAACATCAGTACCGGAAGAATCTTTGGAAAGGTGAAGACTGATGCTCATGAGAGTGCGTGCATGTTTGACAGACTCAAGACCAAACTTGGACACAAGATTTTTCGCATACTTAGACTGAGACACAAACAGACCTGAAGGAGACTGTTTAATTTGAAGACCCAAGGAATAAGACAA